CCATGATTTCAGCTAAACATTTTCTGTTCTGTTCTACTGAAGAAAAAAATTCACCAACATCTAGGATGGCCTGAGGGGGAGTAAATTACCAGCGAATTTTCATTTTGGGGTGAACTATGCCTTTAACAGCTGTTTATTCAAGTTAAAATGTTTATCGCAGCTAATTTTTCATGCCAAATATTCATCTCAGTCTGACAAGCCTTTAGCGAATCATATTTGAGCTTTGTTATTGGTAACAGGGAAAATTTAGGTGGCTCGCAACATCCAAATATGGTACGAAATCATAATAAAGGAATAATAAAACATGTCACAAAGTAGAGCTGCACGATTCTGGATAAATTGAGAATCACAATTTTTAAAAAAATTTTTGGTGTCAAATAGAGATCACAATTCTCCCACGATTCTGAACTAAACAAAATAATGTATAATTTATTAGAAGCTGTGACAAAATATTAATTGCTGCAGTCTATTTAAAAGTGTTGAATTTACATGAATTATTAAAATGTTTTAAATATATAAATATATATATATAGTAGTCAACATTTGAAGTGGATCAAAACCTTTAATCAAAGATGTCCTCAAACCAAAACAATACCCGTTCTTGTCTTAGGACAACTTTGATCCACTTCAAATGTTGACTACTGTATGTATGTGTGTGTGTGTGTGTACAGTATGTATAAACTTTCATCCCAGTATTTCTGTGATAATATGAATGATTGTAATACAGAAATAATACTTTGTGGTTGAAAAGACTGTTTGTGAAGCGGTTTCTTACCTAAACATGGTAACTGCTCTCTGTGTCAGCGGCAGCGCGAACACAGATTTGAATGTTCCAGTATCACTTTTCCCAAAGATTTAATAGACACAGGCGTTGTCATTTAGAAATGAGATCGCAATCTTTTAACGATTAATTGTGCAGCTCTATCACAAAGTCATCCCAGTCTCCCACAGAGTATCCCACAGGTTTCCACTGCTCTTATGGTGTTGTTATTGGCCAATCGCAGAAATTTGCTGCAAAGCTCAGCA